ATGGAGTGTCACTGAAAAAAAAACATCATGTGGAGGCTATGTGCGCCACAATAGTGAACGAAAATTCTGTTATTTGATGTGTGCCCGTTCATTCCTTTCAGTTGCCCATTCGGTTATCATACACCCGGCTGCCCTCACCAATCTAGTACACAGCTGGATGGGTGCTAATTCACACAAGTAAGGGAGAACAGATGCATTTCCAAAAGAACGAGTAAATAATTACCATGTTCACACCAGTGACACTCGGTTGGGGGATTTACCGACTGGCGTCCGCGCCTCTGCCGACTGTGTGCTGTAGAAAAAATGTCAGAAACATACAGAGGCTGACAGTATAGTTGGAGGTTGTCAAAGGGATAGCCCAAGGTCCACTCGACTACTCGCGTCATTGTACAGAGCTGGTCACCGAGAAAAGAAATTTAGACTCTCACGAGAGTTGTAATACGGCTGCGCATCAGCCTACTGCGCAGCGGAACACTCATGTGAAGCAGAGCCGTGCGATTACGCCCCCACGTCTGAATCACGTCGGATTTCATCGTGTCAAAGAAAGGTCAAAAAAAGGACACAGAAAGTTCATGCCCACATCATGGCCAAGGCACCCCGTACAGGAGCGCACAGACGGCCATCTACGATCAACCGAGACAAAGGAACAACCGCCGGAGAACCGTGTGGGCGTGCAGGNACATCGATCAACAACCAAAGATCTGAGGGAAGTTCGCTGCTACTTTTACGTTTTCATTGTTTTTTCCGTAGGAAACAGGATATCGATCTCGTGAAACAGGTTCTTTGGCATGGATTCAGGGGAAACTCTTCTGGTATCAAAATGAACCCCTCGTTTATATGACATTCTTCAAGTAGATAAGCTGCATAAAGACCACCTTTTTATGTATGATATTTGAGAGTGTTACTCATAAAGCTACTGAAGACTGTTTGATAGTCCGTGACAGGTTTGGCCCTTCTGGGGGCCCATCAGGTGATAGCAGTCCTCACGTTTCCGTTTTGGCTGAACCCACCGTTGGCGAAATTCAACGAATACCATCATTCTCCCATTACATCGGTTCAAGCAAAACATCAGTTTAAAAAGAGCTTAGTGAGTGTGACTACCTGATGAACTTCAAGAACGGCGAATCCGGTTGTGAACAGTTTTATTTTTTTTTGGGGGGGGGGGGGTTGGGAGTTGTGTTCTCTCAGATAGGTATCAACCTGTTTGGTCAAGGCCTGTACAGGCCTGGTGGTTTCGCCTAGACCGCGCTCTCGGTCACATCCGCCGCCGAGTTGAATCCCCTGGAATTCAAAATGAAATCTGGGGAAAAGTAACACAGTGACAACACGCGTTTGTTTGTTATCAAGATAGCTGAGAAGAAATCCAGTACAACTCCCATGATATCGCCGACTTTGGGCAAACACATGCCAAACGTCCAATGAGCAAACGTGTTTGAGCAGACCACGGAGGGCGATGAAGTTCGAGGATAGAAACAACAGGTGGATAGAGTTGTTTTTAGAGATGTTACCGTTGCTAACGCTACTTGGATTTTGTACTTATAGACTCAGGCCATTTCGCTGATAACTGCACACCGCTTCGTGTCATCTCGGCTGATCTAAGACCGCTCTCCACACGTTTGCAAGTTCTACCCCCTCTATTCTATTCACACTGGGATGCTTGGCGATTTCTACCGTCTCGGCCACCAGTCCCTGTAGTGTGAATCTTCCCAGTGAATCTGGTTTGTTCTACCGCCATCTTAGGTTTAAACCATGTGCTCTGTGTTACAAGGCATTACATGTTTTGAATTCTATTTATTTAACCTTGAGCAGGTGTCTTCACGTGACCTGTCCCTACAATAAGACCACTGTATGGTTAGTGGTGACTATCCGTGACCATCAGTGTACAGGTAAGACTGGATAGTGTCTTGCACTCATGAGTGGTGCGTCCACCTCAAGACCCTTTGCACACACTGTAGATCTTGACTATACGTTTTCTCCACTTGACCTCAGAGGGTATACTAACGGTGTTTATTACGAGACAATCCTTCGGGTGCACATGTGGCTCGGAGCAAGCCTCATGAACGGAAGAAAATGTCTTATTTGTTTGAGGAAAATCTCGGGGAATGTTTGGGACCGATTGGGAATTCATTGTTTCAGAGGGGTTTGGTGAACAATCGGTGGATTTATTGCTGATCAACGTTTCACTTTTGACAGGACTAGGAACTGCGTATACAAAATAAAGTGTAACGACTGTACGAAGGTTTATATAGGTCAGACAGCCAGGGAATTGCACACCAGAATCGGTGAGCATAAGCGTTCCATTAACAAACCACCGAGAAACGCAGAGGAATGTCAAGCGTTAGTCAAACCTAATGAGATGTCATCATCATCATCATCAACGACAGCATGACATCAGTGTTCAACACCAATGCTTCACTGCTGTACAGCCATGACTTATTTGAAAGCCTTATTGTAAAGAAAAGAATAAAGGTGGATGGGGGAGGAACTTAGTGCTAGCTTAACACAATCATTCCGAGGTGCCTACACCTCCAGACATTCACCCAGGCAATCTGGACAGAAACTGACAACAAGAACGCCACTGACATCGGTTGTAAGAAGGACGGAACCGATCGTGAGCTGTCGAAAAGTTTTCAGCCAGCTTATGGACGACAAATTGAAGACACATGCCTTCAAAATCTCTTCCACGGTCATGTGGATCCTACCAATGATTGAAAGAACTGTGGGCGTGAAACATCGACGAGTTCATCCTTCCCTAATGGAGGAGCCTAAAATATCAGTGATTGTCTTGTAAAGTGGTATCGTCTGTTTTTGCATGAGAAGCTATTTATGTCAGATTAAAGCCCCACAAAAAACCGTGGAAACCAACTGGGTGTGTGTTGACTGAACGGAGCTTGGTGAGTAAGCTGAAAGCTAGTGTGGAATGCACAGAGTGATGACGACAACTATGCGATGGAGCTGTCCATCATTACAGTGGAGGCAGTTAGTTTAATGGCTTGCTGATTGGCAGAAAACTATGTAACTGTTTTTGATAATCCAGACGAAGTTGCGAACAACGGACTTATTTTTGCCATAAGGTTTTCAATTTGGGTTCGGCTTACTATACGAAGGAAATTTTCCGTTTGAACTCTGACAGGCAAACCCCGGTCCACCACTCAGCCGAAATATCTAGGAAATGCTTCTCGGGTTTTATCCTCGTCTTTCATCCAAGGAAAGCTGTGTCACCATGCAGCGGCCGGATGATGAAGCGTTCCGGTTTCATTCAAACCAACTGAGAAAGTGGCAAACTGGATAAAGCGTTTTTTTTCAATTTGCTCCTCTCCATTTTTCTGCACAAGCAGCCATATACATTTCCTCTTCAAGCAGTTGTTCAGTTCAGATATATTAAGCTGCTTCATTTAGTGAAGTAGGAAAAAGCTTATTTGTCAATACCAAACAGGTGACAAAATCTTATCTGAGTTTCATTCTTGGAGTTGGAAAACAGTGTGTATACTTGTCAGTACGTCAATTTGGAGGCAATCCGTTCCTTGATTTCAGTGTGGCTAGGATTGACAAGTTTTAATTTCGACTTCATCCTGCCAGTAAGAGCCAATCACAGTGCTGTTCAGCTGTCCTTGACCGAATGATTGATTAGTCAACCGCTGGACGGAAGGTCATGGGTTTGAAATTCCACGGAGTCACGTGAATTGCGCACTACTGATGATTCCCAATAAGGATGAAACAGCTGTGCAGTGCTTCTGGGCTTCTCGGCATATCGACAACATGAAATACTGTTTTTTTGCCCGCACCATGTACATCCGTCAAATTACGTGATGGCATCGTGCGTAATGGTGGCAGAAGTCACATATATTTAGGTGACAGTCGTCAGTTTTGAATGTAGTTTGCCCTGACTAACCACATAGTAATTTTTCATCGTGGGGTTGCCGAGCGTTAGTGAAGTTATCGAAGATCATCATGGGTGTGCCATCTCGCTATTAAAAGCATTCAAGAGATATGCTACTTTTATCCTAGGCTCTTAAGCATCACGCTCAAGTATGTCCTCCACTGATAGCCACAAATTGTGCTTCGATCGTTTATTGATTTAAGCATGTTCATTTAGGCCACAGTGTTCATCATTGACAGGGCTGGAAATACGGCTGGGAAAATACGCGACGAATAGCGGCACTTGAACCAGGACGAAGAAACTTCGTCAGGGAACAGCATAACTTATGTACCTCAATCTAATACTTGTCTGCCAAAACAATGGAGACAAGACACCTCAAAGCGTGCTGCAGAACAGGCAATATTCAATGATTTAAAGTTTAATCCTGAAGTCTAATGTCATTAAAATATTAGTTTTTTCTCCGTCGCAGCATAACTTATGTACCTCAATCTAATAATTGTCTGCCAAAACAATGGAAACAAGACACCTCGAAGCGTGCTGCAGAACAGGCAATATTCAGTGATTTAAAGTTTAATCCTGAAGTCTAGTGTCATTAAAATATTAGTTTTTTCTCCGTCTGTTTCTTTCGTATCAGGAAGGTCAGATTCCTGAAATCAACTTCTGAACGCCCGGAACCTACTGCTCCACTAAAAGCTCAACTGGAAAGCCCGCAAGCATCCAGGCCAGTCAATCATTCGATCAATTCAGTAAAACCTGATGAGTGTTCTCTGCGCCACAGAAGCACGGCCGAATGTGATCTGCATTCAGGTATTTCATAGAGGCACGATCGATATCGATGGATGTTCACTAACGCCTATCAGACAGCCTGGATCAATGTCAGAAAGTCCCCTTTAAATAGCGTGGGGCCGTTGTAAATTTTGCACTCGCTCTCGCTCTCGCACTCGCACGCACTCACTCGCTTGTTCGGAATATAGCTGTTGTGTTCCCTTCTGTGAGTCTTTTCTCTCCGACACTAGGCACTGGAGCGGGTCAGCAGCAGATACCACAGATTGACGAATCAGCAGATATAACATTCTGTAGCGCATTCAACTCTATGTGAGTAAAATATACCGTTGGATAATTAAAATAAAGCAAGACAACTAAGAGAGAAGCCAACACAATGCTCTGTCCAGGTTCCAACCGGACGTGACGAATTGAGGGAACTTTGTCCTTCAAGGCACCGCTTCTCAACAACTTGACCGTGAGGATTACAAAACGTGTCCATGTAAAAAGCCAGTTTGTCAAATCCACCTGTAAAACTCACGAAATTTGCACAGTTGAATTAGCGCTGC